CATTTTCTCATTTAAAATCAGGGGGGTTTTAATGAGGAGTGGTGAGGGACAACTATGGTGATAAATTTTAAATAGTTCATGTAGTCAGGGCTGTGGACCAAGAGAGGAGGAAATCTGGGAAAGGATATTCTGTAGAAGAGATAACAGTTTTGTAAAAGTATTTGTGCATTACATCTCCAACTGTGCCTTTAACGAAACATGAGCATTATGTTTAAGGGTCTATAGGCCATTTGCCTTTCCCCAGGGATTTTAAGGATGTCTTCCAGTAAAGAAACTAACTTCCAGTGAGACAATAGGAAAAGTCTTGTGTTGGATAAATAACCAATTATCTGGTAATTTCCTGTAAACTACAGAAAACTAAAAACACAGGTCAGTTTTCCCAAAGAGGAAGATGATGTGCTCCAGAAGGTCTGCTCTGTCCAGCATGTACATAAATGAACTGGGAAGGAAAATTTTTAATGGAGTGGCACATCTTAATGATACAAAGTAAGGTGAGGACAGATTGCAAACTTCTATGGAAAGCCTTCACAGTACTGACTGGTGGCAAACTGATGGCAGATGAAATCAAATGCTGATAAATCTCAAGCAAAATGTAGAAAAAGCTATCCCAACTTTCTGTGTGCAGTAATGACCTCTTTAGGCCTTTCAAACATTCCTTTAGCACCCATGAAAGAGGTCTTGGAATCATAACAGAAGTCTCTGAAAACTTCACATCAATACTTAGGATTGTTCAGAAAGTCAGATGAAATGTGAGGAATTACTGAAAAAGCAGAAAATATCATGGTGTCACAGTGTAAGTATCTGTTGTACCTATAACATGTATATGGTAGGAAGTGTTTGGAATCCCAAATCTAAAAACAGTTATAACAGACTGGGTAAAAGGTATCCAAGGACAGAATAAATGGTGTTGGAGTGGGGTTTGTCTTTATTTTTCATGTGTCAGGTAGCTGTCTGTATGTGTGTTACTTGCCTAGGCTCCCTTTATAGTCAATTAAAATCTGCTCATTCCTGTTGTTGCAATTCAGAATGTGATTCTTGCCATCCTGTAGTAAAACCTTACATTATGTTCAACTCCTGGGTCTGATAATCTGTGAAATATAAAAGAACCATGTAAATATAAAGGCAACTTTCTCAGATGTACATACCTTATGCACACATTTAAACAAATATATCTCAATATTTGCATCTTAAGCATAAAGAAGGAAAAAACAGGATGTAGGTCTTGTACAGCCTGACACGGCACAAAGTCCACTAGGAGTGGTTGAGTCTCTTATGAGCTAAGATTTAGGGAGGGTCACAAGTGAGTCTCTAGAAATAGATTTTAAAAAAAATCTCTAACCCAAATGCTAAACTTACCATAGGGTATTTTGGATCATAAAAGCCTATGTTAGTCCAAAAATCAAGTATATGATTCCTTGGAAAAGTTTCCATCAAGACGTGTTTGACATTGAAGTACAGCTTCTGGCTCCATGACCTCTGAGACTCAAGTTGCTGAGCTGGAAGAGTACAAGGGACAGGGGAGCTGATGCTTTTCCCTTACTTTCCTCCTTGAGCAATTGTATTGGCTACTTTCAGACAAGGGACTGGGCAAGATGAGCTTTTCATCTGTCTGATTACAGCCAGTGTGTTCCCTAGACTTTCAGTATTTGTCTGGTTAGGATGTCTGTGGGATGTGTCTTCTAGAGTCCTTGCTCATTTTCCAAGGCATTTTGAAATGTTTTCTAACAAGACTGTACGGATCATTTAAAATCCAATCTACTACCCACAGTATCACAAACCATTGAAATTCTGTCTTGCATAAGGACAGTTATAATGAAGATAATTTGGGGCTGGTTGTCCTATCACTGTTCATACTGTGAACTCATTTGCACTCTGAGCAATTTAATGGGTACCTCTCCTTGTGATGGTAATACACTACTACTCACCATGTATGTTTGTTTTTAAATTACCAGCAATAGAATTTTTTTTTTAAATATAAACCTGTTATCTGTTTAATGCTCTTTATGCAGAAGAAAAAAAAATTTAAAAAATCAACCAGTCTTGTATTATATAAAATTATTATTAGAAATATAAATATTTCTGTAACACATTTCCAGTAAAAACTCTACATTTCTGCTTCTACAGATGCTTAGTTCTAGAATCATATATGCTGACTGATGGACTGGTTGTTTGTGATAAAGTATTGCTTAAAGAAGACTTGCAGTTGCTTACTTCTTAATAACATAAAGTCATATTCCAAATCTTTCTGTGGTTATTTTTCTCTTTTCTGTCTACAGTTTTCTAATTGTAAGCTTACTGGCATTAATTAGATAGCTGTTCATTGACTAGCATACCTTTTTTTGTTCTTGCTGTTTATCATGTTTGGATTTGGCCAGCTAATAAAAACACCAGCAAAAATTCAGACTTAGCAATAATAGAAAGCAGAATATTGAATTTAAAGGCAAAAGCTGTAGTATTTTGTGCACTGGAATATTATTATCACACTGCAAAAATCATTATCCTTGCAGCACAAAAAAATTAATTAGGACATTGATTGAACAGAAGGCAGAAGATGAGTTTTCTTCTCTACTTCCATGTCTATTTCATTTCTTTCAGTGTGGGTTGCTTCTGTGTCATAGCCTTTCTGGTCTGTAAAATAACTTACAGTCAAAAAACATGCTGACTAATTATGAAAGTTTTTCTATTTCTATTTCATTTTAATAGATATAAAGGCTGTGTGATTTACCTAATAATTAATGGTGGTATTCAAGGGAGAGCAGTACTTTCAAGTCCACAATATAGATGCAAATAATTGGTCTGAAATCAGCTAGTTAAGTTAATATATGTTTAAAAACAAGTTTTTTATAAGGCCTGTGTGCTTTGCTTAAGCAGTGATATTTTTCAGTCAGAGACCTGATCCTAATCCCATACAAATAATAGAAAGTTAACTCAATTTAGTACAAGAACTGCATTGAAGTGCATTGTAGTCTAGAAACTGATCTTTGCATCTATTGATTGGCATTTATTCTCTCAGTGTTTTTTTTATTTTAGATATACATTTATTTTGTGTATTTAATTTTTATTATATATTACCTTTATTATATATTTTCTGTTATATCTAATATATACACATGTATATCTATATTTTATGCAAAGTGGTCATTGATAACACTAGATTAGTGGTGGTCTCTCGCCTTGGAAAGGAAGCAGCATGGGAGGAGCTGAGTTGATCATCCCAAATGTAAGCCACAGAGTCATGACCAGGCACCTTGGGGCTTGAAAACAGCAGATCACAGGGAAAAAAAACAGTAAAACAACCATTTGTAAGTGAAGTGCTCAGATAGAGGTGTATATATTTCTTCAGCCTTTGAGGCCTTTACTTTACAACAACAAATGTCTACTTTTACAACATGTTGTTTGTTCTCTGAACTCAATTGCTAACTAAAAAGTTCAGGGTAAGCACATATATAACTCTCTAGGGTAAAACCAAGCGTGAGCTGTCTTCCTTTTCTTTGTATTTCAGACCTTGCTCAGCACTAAATTGTAAATCAGTTCTCACCAGTAATGTCAGTTCTACTCTAGTGGTATAAAACTGGAGAAATGGGGAAGTCAACTGTTATGTCATGAACTTGATGTATGCATCTTCTCTCACATCATGGCATTTGCATAGTTCTCTGCACTTCATTTACAAAGTACACATCCCTTCTGATGGTGTATTTTAAATATTGATCATTGGAGTCATTCACTGTACAAGTACCACTGAAGTCAGTCTAACTCCTTATGTTGCAGGGTAATTTAACATAATTGATGGAAGTCAAATCAGCTTTTAAAAGACATTTGAGGAACAAATTTTCAATGATGTTTACCTTTAGTGCTCTTCATGGCATTCTAAAGTCTATGAATGCCTTCATATTATTCACTCTTAAAGTTCACAGAGGATGGGCTTTTTTTACCTTTTTGTACCTTATTTTGCATCATGTGTTGATGAAAAGATTACTAGGCAATAATTTCAGGTTATTTGATGATCTAAAATGAAATGCAGACCACAGGGGGTTTATATTAAAAATACTGAGAGAAAGGAGCTATAGAGCAGACTAATATAGCAAGTGAATTATTCTGCCTTTGTGTGCAGACATCATATGGTAGGAAAACATGATCCCGAGGATGACAGAATTTTTCCCTTAGAAACGATTCATTGTTACATTTTGACATATTTTATCACATTAAAAATTCATAAATGTCTCCTTAGAAAAGATAGATATGGAGCAATGGAAGAAGTACATAGAGATTCCTCTGTTTGAGAAACTCAGGGTGCCCTGAATTTATCTGAATGTACCCAGATATATCATGGAGACATCCTCATCAGGTTGTTGATTTTAAAATAAGTTTGTAACTAGCAGATTCTGGTCTTAACATACATCAATGAAATTATTAGCTAAACTGCTTTTATGCATAGTTTTAAGGTTATCTTAAAAGAAACATTTTTTTGTTTTTTCTTTTAACTATGAGTCATGTAAGCCAGTTTGGGATTATTAGGGGTCTGTAAAACTTTCATCATTTTTCCATTTGTTGTATTTGGGAGCAGCTGTTTTCCTCTGTTTTCCTGTGTTAAACTGTACTCATCACTCCCATCCATCCTGACTGAACTCGTTACACACAAGTAAAGGGTGAAACAGGAGACAAGTGTGCTCTGCAGTGCACCTCCCAGTGGGTGAGCTGGTCAGAAATTCAGCTAAACTGGCCAAAGGTGGCTATGAAGGTTCCAAATTCATAGCACCTTCTGAAATGCTGGGCCTTACACTTGAGAACTAAAGTCCATATGAAGTTAAATAAACAGACCTGTAATGGAATCACGACTGTATGCTCTTTCCTTTCAGCTTGCATGTAATATCTTTATGTTACTAATCAGCTGGTAGCAGAGCCAATAGTCTTTGAAGTTAGTGCATTTATATTTATATTTATATTTATATTTATGTTTATGTTTATGTTTATGTTTATGTTTATATTTATGATTCACGCAGGTTTATCGAGCAGAACTCGTTCCCCTTAAGGAAAAGGTGCATCACGTCAATGAGCTCGCTCGCCGCTTCACTCCCGCCGATATTCAACTCTCCCAGTACAATCTCAGCTGTGTGGAAGACCTAAACACAAGGTGGAAGGTGCTACAGGTATATTTCACATTACTTTTTTCTTAATGCTTCATTTAAGTGAATATTTCTGTTTCTCTGTGTGTTGTTCCCTATGGGATAGCATCGAAGGTGTACAAAGCAATGAAAGATAAGAAAGCCCAAGAAAATGTTTTGTTGTTACCATTCATAAATGCATTAGACAGAGGCCCAACCTGATACTGTGGATGGTTTAAAAATGTAAAGGGCAAGCCACATGTTTTGCACATATTTCAAAGATGATACATTCTCTTCCACAGAGCTTGGGAAGCATTGTGAACAATTAACTTTCACTGTAAATTATTGCTTTGATTTGTCAAATCCAGATATTTGGAAAACAAAGTTTTCATCTTCTCTGAAGATACCTGGAGACAGTGTGTCAGGGTGAGATGTTATTGCAGATAGAATAGACAGTTAATTGAAATATTATGGTTTACTGTCTTTTTTCATATTTACTTAAATGTCATCTGGAAGATACAGTGAATAAGGTGAAAGCACTCCAGTAAATTTTTAAACACATCCTGAGGGGAAAAGACATAAGTAACTTTGAAAGATTATGATATACTAAAGGCCAAGTTGTGACCCTTGGAAAGAGGAAAGATGCATCTGTTCCTGTAATATAATTTTGCTACTTAAAAGAGAGCAGAATTTGAAATGTGTTGAGAGGCAGAGCTCATTTTTGTTAGAAGAGAATAAAATAGCATAGCGTGGAATAGAGTAGATCAATTGGAATGATGAATATACAATTATTAAGACCAACTGTTCTACATACAAGATCTGCTGGACACTCACACCCAATGGCACTTTTTAGTATAGTATGTATTTTTCCATCATAGGACTAGACTTTTTTATGATCAACAATCCAGTTAGATGTGATACCCTATACAGAAAGCTGAAATTTTGGCCACATAATAGGAAAAGCAAAAATGAAAATTGTTTTTGTTTCATGCAAAACCATTTTCCTTCTTACATGTGTTCCTGTTTATTTCTAGTTTTACAGTTGTCCAGTATGTTTCTTTTTCATTCTGTTGGTTTTGTGAGTTTTATTTATTAATTGCCTTTATTATGCTAATGCCACCTAAAATATTGACTTTATGCTTTTGTATTTTCATCTTTTTTTTAAAATATATATTTCAGTTTATTTTCATGTGTCTTTCTTATACATTGTATGTGTTTTCTCTCAGGCTACTCTTAATTCTTATTTTCAAAAAGCAATTCTTTCTATGTTCCTACTCTTCTCTATCTTTCCACATCCAACTTCCCTTATTTCTCTTGGTTTTGTTTTTCTGTACTCCCTTTGTTTCTTTTAGTTTACTTCTCTTTTTCTCCCTCCTCAAAGGTTAGTTCTCTCTCTCCTTGCTATATTCCTAAAGGGGAAAATATTTCTTAACCATGTACCCCGCTTTCTAGAAAATATCACTGCAGGAAAATCATAAAACAGAGAATTCTGTGCTATTGCTTGACAGAAAGATACCCATCCTTGGTTATGTGTGGGAAAAGTGCATAAAGACATAAAATTTATCACTTCTAAAACACCAGTGAATTCTAGTGTTATGAGAAAGTTGAAGAGGATTTTGTAAAGGAGGAAATCATGTCTCACTTGTTTCTGTATTAACTCTGGGAACTTACATGAGATTAGAGGAGGAAATGTGTCTTCTTAAGCCAGATCTTACAGAGATTTAATATTATATTTACTTTATATTCATAAGGCCAATCGTAGTCAGTCATTTTCAGTATTACACAGTGGTTCTACAGTGAGATTGGTGCTCTTAGTGAATAGAACCAAATTTTCCTCCAGAATCTTCCCAGAACTTCATTTGTATTTTTGCAGTAAGGCATGTTTGCCATTAATTTGCTAATTAATTGGTTTGTATTCAATTGTAGTGAATATGCTCTAGAGTATTACTGGTACAAAAATGTACAGAAAACCCTCAACTACTTACAGACTCAACCAGTCCTGGTTTTGAAGTGTTTTGTGGAGTGCATTTCATTAAATGAAAGCTGATGCACTCAGCTCAGTCACTGAAAACCGTGTCATCTTCTGTGGAGTTTGAGTAGTTTCATGCCTTTAATAGAGTAGTTTTGAGGAAAATATGCTGTTCATTTCTTTTTATTTTTCTTAAACATGAAAGGAGATGAAGTGTTTCCAAGGAGCTATTTGTTATGAATTTTACAAGGGGCTCTCATGCATGCTTCAAACAGTGTATGTAATGATCTCATCCTGGGGTAGAATGTGTCTTGCAAGCCCTTGCTTACTTCCAGTTGACATTTAGGGAGCCAGGAATCCCCTAAAATAGGTGGGAGTTACGTACATTTCACTTAGTCAGAGATCTGACTGCTATAATGCTGGTCAAAGGGCAAAGTTCCTGACATGTAAAAGAATTTACAAGTATCCCACAGGGAACATAGCCTTCAGTTATCAAGAAAGATATTTTTGTTTAAATCAAACTTTGTTTTCTTTTATTTAGAATAGTACCTTTAATAAGCTGAAAAATGCAGTAAGAACTGTCTTTCATCCAAAAATGTATCTATTAAGATATTTTGCTATGGTATTTATACTCTAGAGCTTTTACTTCTGAAAGATGGTAGTTTGTGAGTGGTTGTCTTTGAGCACATCAAAAAACTAGAGCTAAATCAGCCCAAGGTCTTTTCCAGTCTAAACTTTTCTATAATTCTGTGATTTACATACATATATATCATGATTGTCACAAAGCATAAGCCCTAATTTCAGTATCGTTCCTAACTCCTCAGCTCATCTTGTGCCAGTAGAGAAGATTCTGCAGGATGTGGAGGTTTGAAGATTGTTGTGGTGTAAAAAACATGCTGACATTTGTTAGAAGGTCCAGCCACAACTGGACAATAATTCTGTTCCCTTGAAGAGCATTCTCTGCTTGCAGGAGCTTTGAAGAGCCAGCAGGCTTTTAGTACCCCTGCAGGCAGTTATCTAAAGTCATATCATCATTTTATTTGAATTCTGCTGAGGACAGGCTCTTTACTGAGCTGCATAATGCACACTAATGTAATAAACATTGCTGCAATGAATTATTTCAAAAACCACCTTCTTTTGTGTGCCTCTCAAATACTAGCTGATTCTTTCAATCTGTGCTGAGAAATATGAATGAATCTTACCATCTGTATTTCCAGAGGTACTAATATCAAGAATATAAAAGCCAAAAAGGAAATCCCTTCTTCCCTGAAATCGGTGTAAAATTGTCACTATGCATCACAGTCTTGCTGGCCAGTGAACCTCTAAAGAGCTGAGTCACAGGCATTGTGGGCAGCTGTCCTCAGCTCACACCTTGCTCTTTATAGGGGTTGGACACCAAGCCAAGGAAGTTGCAGCAATATACAAGCTGAAATCAGCAATGACCTATTGTAGCAGGTTTTAGGTTTACAGGTTTTTTTTTACTTTGCCTTCTGTCTTTCATGCCTTCTCTGAGAAAAATATCCTACCAAAAAATGAAATGCCAACAAAAATACCTATGTAAAAGAAATGTCTTCTTCTTGCAGCTGAATTGAACCAAGTTTGCTTTTTCTAAATTGTATGTATTAATGGTTTCAGGAAGTGAACTGCATTTCTAAACCATGGAATTAAAATTTGAAAGTGATGAAGGCTATTCTCTTATGTCATTTTTCTTAGAGAAAAAGAAAAACCTCTCTTGCTTTACAGTTCAGTTGTCCAATTGGAAGTGCATAGGATCCTCATACATGAAAGCTCTACTCATATACTTAAACAGAATATTTGCCTTAAATTGTTCTATATCTTAAATTACAAGTAGAGTTATTTATCCTTAAAAAGCGAGTGTAAACTGGGGTTAAAGCTGATAGATTGACAGATGATGCAACAATAGCAAGAAAGATATTTCTTCCTCGGTATGAGACAGAGAAAGTAATGCCTAAATGAATTGGCAATATAAAAGGCAGTTAGATTTTTATATTTTTATATTTATATATTACCTTTTTGTTACCTTTCAGTTTCTCTTTCCATTGGGATATTTCATTGATTTCAATAACTAATTTGTTTCTATTACTTTGGTTTTTTGTCTTTTTTAAACTATATTTTGGCATATGTCATCTGTTAGTAGCTGAAAAAAATGGGAGACAACTTTTCTAAATATATGGACCCAAAATTGTATCTCAGTTACAGCTACAGTAGCTAAGTCACTACTAAAATCATGGTGCTTTTCAACCTTGAAATTTGAAATTATTCTGTAGTTGCAGATTTCATCTTCCCAGCAGAGGGAGATTTTGATCCTTTTTGGAAGTTGAGTTTTCCCATCAGACTACTCAGTTAAAATGTTGGTTTGTATGTTCCATGAGAACAGGAACTTCTGCCAAAACCACAATTGTTACAGCTCTTTAATGGTCTCTTATTTGTTTAATTGGCTATGCCAGTTGGCTGCAGAAGTCATAGACCCAAGCATTTTTCTTCCATTCCTGTTAAATTGAGTCTCAGATTTTCTCAATGTTTGTCTGCAAAATTATGCATATAGAATTCATTTTGCAGTGATTCGTTCTTTAGAAATCCAATTTATTTATTTCTGCAAGTTAGTGGAGGAAGGCCAGCTGTCAGGACTAGGATTCAATTCTGCTAATGAAGGCTGTGTCAAAAATTGGAAATATTCCTTCCTAAATTAGAAGGACACCTTCATTGTGGCATCTTTAGGGCAGTCAGTGAAAGCAAGTGTGTAACTATAAACAGGAATAGTTATCATCCATAGACATGACAGCAGGAAAACTAATAAAATCTTACTAAATTTATGATGTGTGTGATGAATTTTACTTTGTGGGAAATTGCAACTGCTTTAATCATTTTTTGTAAAGGAGGTGCATTCATTTTGAGAGTTTTGTTAGCCTCTTTCGACTTCCTTTACTCTGAAATTTTGTTCTCTATGAAGATGTTTTGAAGAACCATGCAGAAGAATAGCAATATATCATACTTTATATTCTCATTACAATATGAATCTGTAGATTTCTTTTGATGTACTTTTTTGTTTCTCATA